TATGATTTTTTTTACAGACTATAGAGGGGGCATTGTGAGTTACTGTCAAGTTGAAAGCTTTAGTAGTGTACTTGTCCACAAATGTTTTTGTTACATGTGCTGCAGATTCTTCCATTAAGCATAGTACGCTCAAGGATGTGGCTTGTGGTAGTCTAAACAAAATATGAGAATAACTTCGAAAGGCACGGTTATCAACAATCCTCTTTGGGAAATAAGTACTTTGATAGCTCGTGTTTCAGTCAATCCCTCGTAGAAAAAAGAAGCCCATGCCCCTTTTATAGTTTCTGCATCCTTGGCTAAGCAAGAATCTTTAGTCCATGTATTAGTTCACAGCCTATCTATTATCTAGAATCTAAAGTGCTTAGTAGAGGATCAGGACATGATAAGTAACAAAATGTTATTCTTCATCCACATGAGGTTAAAACAGCATGTACAAATGATGCTCATGAGGTTACTTTTGCAGCATCTTTTTGTTTTTAAGCATAATGACTCGGTTGTGGCTAATACTCCTAATAGTGCAGGTACTCCTGTTCTGTTAGCAAATGAGAGTTTGGTTGTGAAAATTATTGCTCCAACTAAAGCAATCTTTGATGCTAAATCATTATTCAAAAAAGATTTTCCTAATACGGAGTACTTTTGTAACTACCCGAGAAACTATCTTAGAATTAAATGGTACTGTAGTAAGCCATTTTATTGATAAAGAGCATTTTTATTAATCCTCATTTGAGATGATGAGGATTTTTAATAAGTCACTCTTTAGGCAGCATGACGTTGAGATGCTTTGTTAGCATAATAACATTGTTATACTATTTGAGCTACTTTTCTTAGCCTATTAGCTCAATGGTAGAGTGCCGTGTGCAAAAGTGCACGGAGATGTGGGTTCGAGTCCCACATAGGCTTTTTATGAATTTAAAATATTAAAAAATGTTTGTATTTTTGTATGTGTGATATTTTAATAGTCTAACTATTGTTTAAGAAGGGTATTCTTAATTTATTATAGACAACTTGTAATAAATTACGGTTTCTATGAATTTCAAAAACAGTTCTACGATATATAAATACACTACTATTATAAGGGTGTCCTCTATTCTTATAATAAACAATTGTGCAAAAAAAACCATATGAAACATACAACTAACAATAGATTACTATTTCTTATAAGTTTAAAAACAGTTATACACTGGGAAACCAGACTTCTGTTAAGAAATAGTAGTCTTAACTAATCATTGACGACTGTGGCAATAAAAACTGTATTTTTTGATGAAACCGACTACTAATAATAGATTACCGTTTCTCACAAGTTCAAAAATAGTTCTACCCTTAATTCATATATTATTGTTAGAAAAGAGTCTTCTATTCCTATTATAAACAACAGTGGCAAAAAAAACATATGAAACAGACAACAAGCATTAGATAACTGTTTCTAATAATTTTAAAAACAGTTCTAGACTAAAAACCCAGACTATTGTTTAAATAGAGTATTCTTAACTTGTTATTGACAACTGTTCTAAGAAAAACTGTATTTTGAACTGATACAAACAACTAATGATACATTACTGTTTCTCAGAACTCTAAAAATAGTTTTAAAGCATAGCTAGCATCTAGACTACCGTTCTGTAGCCAAGAAAAACTTACAGTAGTCTGTTTTTTAACCACTGTGTTTCCATAAACAGTAGTTAATCAGCAGTCATCTGATAATGTTTTTGGCGTAGTGTTTACTTTGCGAAAATAAACACAATGCTTAATCTCTTAAATTTATTTAACTAGTATTTTCACCCGTGCGACGCACGGGTTTGAACGAAATTTGTGTCGATTCTAAAAGTTTTTTTTAGTATAATAGGGGTTATTTTTTCCAGGTTTGAGAAAAAAATTTCTAACAACGTTTTATATACTATAGACATCAACATCAAAATATAAATAATATATATGTAGCATTTAACATTTTGTGATGTAAATTTCTATACATGAAATTGAAAGATATTACGACAAAGTCTGATAATTGCAAATTTCTTTTTTCTTGTTATTGACTCTATTGTAAGTAGCTGATTAGTATTAAATTTTTTCTAATAAAAAGAAAATTATTGACGTATATGGTGAGGCCCCTCAAGTCAAATTACATACTTAGTCAATAAAAAATAATCTTAAAGTTGATTTAAAAATTTCTTAATATCAAGTTATCACAATTGTAGCAAGAGAATGTTATTTTATAAATAATGAAACCTAATGAAAATATATTTGACATAGTGAGACTTGGTAAATCATAAAACTAAAAATTCTACTAAATCTTTAATATTGAGATGTGAAAAGATGATGGACTCAACTGCTTTTATGTTGTTTTATACTATCAACAAAGTTATAAAACTCTTAGTATGATTGCTGGTTTTCTTAGGGTTTAGTCTTGCACCTTCACACAAAGGTCATCATGCACCTAGGATAAATATTAAAGGTTTATAAAGGATAAGATTGTAATATACTGCATAAAAGAGTTTTTTAAGTTTAGCGTCCCTCTTTATGTACTTATATTTCCCATTTTTAATTTTTAAGCAACTGTAAAAATACTTTTTAAGAACTCTATCACTTTATTTTACACTAATAAGAAACATGATTTAAATTTCACAATTGCGTAATCACTTATATTTATAGTGGTCACTTACAAATCAGTTTACTCCTCTAAATATCTAATTTCTTTAACCAAACTCTGTAATATAACAACTCATTCATACATAGTTAGACTTCAGATATGAAATAAATAGTAAATATAGACCAACAACGATTTATGGAAATAAACATATCTATAATTTAAGCTATAACAACTAAGGTTAAATATAAATACAATTTAATTGCTTTGTCAATAAATTTTTTAGGCTGCATTCCGTTCGCCTAATCTGATATGATCTAATTTTTTGAAGTTCTAGTTTGATCTGATTGGATATGATCTGATCAGATTAGATCTGATATGATCTAATCTGATTGGATCTTATCTAGTCTAGTCTTATCTGATCTGGTCTGATCTGATTGGAATTTGATTAAAATTAAAACTAAAATTTATATTATAATAGTTATAATTATAGTTATAATAATAATAATAATAGAAATATTAATGATAATTGTAATAATAAAATAAAAATAATACTCATAATAACAATAATAATAATAGTAGTAATAAGCATAATAATAATAATAACTATAATAATAATACTACTACTACTAATAATAATAATAATAATAATAGAAATATTGATAACAAAAACAACAACAATAATAATAGTAATAATATAAGTAATAATAATTATACTAATATTAATAGTAATAATAATATTAATAATATTAAAAATAGTAATAATAACAATAATTGTATTAGTAATAATAAGAATAATAGCAATAATTACAATAACAATATTAATAATAATTATAGTCATAATAATAGTAATAGTAATAATAGTAATAGTAATAATAATAATAGTAATAATAATAACAATAGAAATACTAATACTAATAATAATAATAATAGTAATAGTAATAATTGTAATAATAATAAAAATAGTAGTAGTAATAATAACAATAGCAATAATAATTGTAATAATAATAATAGTTATAGTGGTAGTAATAATAATAGTAACAATAATAATATTATTTATATTAATAGTAATAATAATTGTAATAGTTATAATAAAATAATAATTATAATCATAATATTATTTGTAATAGTAATAGTAATAATAATACTAATAATGGTAATAATAATATTAGTAATAATAATGATGATAAAAATAATAATAGAACGTTGTCTTAGTTAAAGGCAAAAGGAGCATTATTGGTGAGATATAAATACTATCCCCGTCACCCTAATTTAAGTTGCTTGTTATTATTCACATTATCAAATTTTGATGAATTTCTTTATTCATTTTTGTTACTCATTTAATAAAATAATATGATCATGTGACTTATTATTTTTTAAAACTTTTGATATAATTTTAAATACATAAATTTTATTTTTTATTTCTTCCATATTTTTCATATAAATTTCTTTGAAAGTAACTTCCATCAAATATTGTAAAAAATTGAATTTTTGTAATGAGACAGAGGGTTACAAATTAGAAAACCAATTCAAAATTTTAAAAATTGAAACAATAATAACATAACTTAAAATTTAAGACCAGGTAAAAAAATACCACTTCTTGACACATTTTTTAAGAGTATAATATGTATGATAGTAATCTCTGTAAATTTAAAAAAAATAAGGACCAGATAATCTTTTCATTCCAAAAAGAAAGAAAATAATTACGGGACGGAGGGGTATTAAACTTTGAGTAACATAAAAAAATTACAAAAAAGTGAATATTTTTTTCTCATGAATTGAAAAGGAGATGATCAAGCTACTATTGCATCTTCATCTCCACAATGCATGCCTTATCCCTTACAATAACATGTGAAATAGTTTTCAAAGAAAGTGGAATTGAGAAAAATAAAGTACTATATATAGTAGAGAACCAACAACGGGTCTGTTTGGGAATAGCGTTAGAGATTAGTGTTAGCATTTTGGATAAAATTTTAACGGTGTTGATTACTTTGAAAATGCTAGCATTAAACGCTGGCCGTAGATAGCCTTTTTAAAATGCTAACGCTAATCTCTACCGCTATTCCCAAACAGGCCCAACAATTCTAAGGGTTATCAAGCTTGAAACATTCCACAACTTGTAAGAAACCTCAATAATCTTCTAAAATCAAAATCACTTGTTTCTTTAAATAAGATGAAACAATAAGAAACTATAGGCTCCATTTACCAATGCCTAAATGGAAATCAATCACCTCAACCGTTTGGCAACGATATTCATTTGTTTAGCAACATCTAATCATTCAACAAATCTAACATCAACAACAAAAGCATCATCACACACACACAAAGAATTAGTACCAAACAACCACTATATTACTAAAAAATGATTTGAAAAACTACATGAACATCAAAATCAGTTTCAACAATAAAAAATCAGTCTTACAATAACCCAAACAGCTTCAGAATAGCTCCAAATAGCTTCCTAATTGAACAATAAAGCATTTCTGAACAACTTAGTAATAACATGTCAAATATATTTGAAAGTAAATATTATTAGGAATTAAATATTATTAGATAAATATATGTACATTAGCTATCAACACTTCTTGCATGAAGAAAAAAACCCTTAAAAATATGAAAATATTAAGCTAAAGCTTTTTTACTTGGTGCAAGTAATAACCTCTTTGTTTCAATCATGGTCTCTTCTCCTAATCTACGTGCACACTCCCATATATTTACTCCAAACATACATTAAAATGCACTTTTATTAAATAATAGTGAGAACAGAATTTCGTGCAAAAAAACAATTCATATTAAATACAATGTGACAGTAAATGTAAATAGAAATTCTTTAACTCTTTATATTTCAAACACTTGCCTACTAAGATTAATGATTAACATGCAAGTATTTAAAAATATTTTTCACAACAAATAGAAGCTCCGAATTAGTTGGGGATTTGTAATTAAGAGCAATAAACATTAAATAACATCAAGAAATTACCACCTTTTGATCTACACCTGAAGGTTAAATGTATGTTTATAAAGAATTTGGCAAAATATCCTGCGAGCATCAAAACACTATAATCAGCTTTCATAATAAAGAGTATACATAGCATACACGTGAGCAACATTTTCATATATATATATGGGCAATGCTAGGGGTACACCAACATGGGTACCCCAAGTGTACACCAAGCCAACACAGACACACACAGACAAAAAGTGTCTGTGTTGCACAGACACAAACTGTGTGTCTCTGTGTTGGCTTGGTGTACACTTGGGGTACCCCATGTTGGTGTACCCCTAGCTTAATTCATATATATATATATATATATATATATATATATATATATATATATATATATATATATATGAAACTTATTTACTTCAATTAAAGGAAATTGGATTTGATTAAAAGATTACACCTTTGAACATGAACATCAATGACATATATGAATAAATCTATCATCTGGATTCCAATTCATTACCTGGTTTGAATAATGAATGTTTAGTACTCCGTATAAAGTAAGCATTTGGAAAAACTTAAAGAGTACGACACTTTCTTCGATGCAACTCTTAGCTAATCCCCCTTTCTAATGAAATAAAAATAGTTAGTTTATTGATACTCAAATAACATCAACAACTAAAGAATGAAAATTTATTTATGAAAATAGTTGGGATGATTCAAATGAAAGAATAAGGAAAATGAGAGGATTAACAGAGAATAACATACTGACCTTGTGATTATGAAGAACCCTATTTATACAATCAAATTCGAATATAAAAAAGGAGGTCTTGTCAGACACTTTTTGCGGTAACAGTATGAGTAGATGAAAGTGAGCATTCTACTTTGTACCTTTATGTGGAACACCAAAAGCCTCCTTTGTACCTATGTGAAATATATGAAAATATCTGATAACTTACCTAATGTGGCAATGCATCTTCTTGGCCTTAAAGTAGTGAATGAGGAAAAGAACCCTTAAAGTAATAACCTCTTTGTTTCAATCACGCTCTCTTCTCCTAATCTACCTGCACACTTCCACATTTTTAGTCCAAGAATATATAAAAATACATTTTTATAATAAATTAGTGAGAACGGGATTTCAAGCCAAAAATTATTCATATTAAATACAGCGTGACAGTAAATGCGGATAAAAATTCTTTTAATCTTTATATTAAACACTTGCCTACTAAGGCGATTCCATTTTTAAAAATCTACTACAAAAAGAAAAGAATAAAAAGATATAAAAGGCATTAAAGGATAAAATCACAACAACAAACGTGGTAAAATCTCACATGGTGTCGTAAAAGGATACATTGAAAATAACTCAATCTCTAAATTGAGGTTTAAATATCAACTTAAACAGTTGCTACAACCCGTACTGCTCCAATTACTCCTAAAGGCTGACCAATTGTAGATTTTGTAGACTTTATCTAAAAACTAAAGAAAGAGATGCACATATTTGTGTATATTTTGATTATGTGAGAAAATAGGTTTGCAAAATAGGAGAAAAGTGAAACATGTTGTGAGTAAACTAAATTTGTAAAACTTCCAAAGCTCCAGGTTCTGACTAAAACATCAAAGAATGGTTTGAAGGTACAACAATGTGGCTTCTGCATTTATATAGTAAATATAATCCATGCAGAGCACTCAGTGAAATTATGCACTAATTTATATAGTAAATATAATCCATTGACATCAAAAGTGCAGTCTGAGATACTCAATAAGAAACATGTAAGTCTTTTGGTAATTTATAGCAAAGAAAAGTTATTTGAAGAAGCACACGTGTGTTGTTAACAATTTTTATTAACTTGATAGTTTATATAAATGATAAATTCAAACAAAATCCTTGATTTTATTGAATATTTAATGGGTAATCCTTTAGATGACTCAATCCACTTAATGATTTCATCACCAATCTTCTCAGAATCATTTAAATATTTTAACCAAATTTTCAATCCATCAAACACACTCTATATGTCCGTCCCCTCTTATTCATTTCACGAATGTAATTGACCAACCATTCACAAATTTACAAAATAGAATCAATGGTCAAATATATAAGTTAAAGGATAATGTAGCACTCCACTTTTAAGTAATCAGTAATGCCATGTTCCTTCATTATTAGACTAATATTTTGGCAAGTGTTTTGATTGTTTTCTACAAAATACCAATAATTTGCACATGGAAATCAACGTTCATTGTTAATTTTAAAAATTCTTTGATACTCTATTCATAAAAGAAACACGTCATCAATTCATAAAATATGTACAAAATACCAATTATCAGACCATTCAGACGAAGAATTCATAGAGGGATCATGCCATTCAGACGAAGAAATTTATAAAGTAATCAGGGCATTCAGACGAAGAATCTCAATGTGTAAAAATAAAGAAACTTACCGTACTTGGGCAAGAGGTTGATGTCGAACGGTGGAATTCCGTTAAACTCGCCCGGAAAGGAAATAAAGTCGGCGAAGGAAAACACATCTCCATATCCAATAATTTCAAAGAAATTTCCATGGTCTCGGATTCATCTGCGAAGGAAACTTACCGTATTTGCTATCTTATCCATATCGTAGAATTTCCCTGAAATTTCGTAGAGGATTGAGTGTGTGATGAAGTCTCGAGAGGATTCAGTGGATTCGCAGAGGATTCAGTGGGTGACGACAATTTCGCATAGGAGCGTCGATGATGATATCTCCAGATCCGCTGAGGGAGGATTGTGTGGGGGAGCTCATATCCAGCATACATTGGATCGGGTCATCTAGATCCGTTGATATCGGTACCTTTGATGACGTGGCTGATTAGGTGTTAAAAAATAGTTCAGTCATCACGCCAAATTTTGCAATTCTGAGAGTTCAACTCTCAAATTTTATATATAAAGAATTTCAAAGATTTGACATAAAAATATTAATTAAACATACATATTTAAATTAGATCTCTTGAGATGGATGAGAGTAGCAAGTTTGAACTTAAAATTGAATAGTACACAAAGAAAATGGCAGACAATGACCCGCCCATCATCTTTAGCATAACGACTAGCGCGTGTTGCCTAACCTCTACCTTAGTGCTAGCATCATTCACAACATTCACCACAATTGCAAGCATTTTAATCTGCGACGTAGTCAGATTATCAAGAGCAAGTCTAAACCCCATGAAAATCTTGAATAGCTGCACCCACTCCGCCTACGTCCTAGTAGTAATGGTACCAAGCAAAGGGATCCCATCGACAGGAAAACCAAGTATAATCTGAGCGTCTTGTAAAGTGATGCCGACATCTCCAAATGGGAGATGGAAGGCGTGAGTGTCGCATCGCCACCTCTCAACTTAGGCAGTGGTCAAGCCCCAATTAATCAAGTTGTAGTCTAATCACTCGATCCACCCCGTAAAACTAACACGCATTTCAAAGGACTCACTTTGGGAGACAATTACTCACCCGCGCTTAAATCATTGCTTCTCCTCAAGCAAGCAAGAGCTAAAGTCATCAAGTTAGACAAATATGCACTCATGTCAATCTATGTCAAGTGGTAGAGTCTAGTATATGCCAAGAACATAAACTAAGACAACTCAAGAAATCTTCACAATTTTTTTTATGGAATGAAATCTCAAGAGAATCACAGAAGCTCACATGATGACGTTTATTCACTCGAATTTTTACTCAAGGTTTATTACTCACAACCTAATCTCCAAGGATAATCAAAAGGTCTTTTATTAAATAAAGGTGAAAGATAAGAGATAGATGGGGAGATGGAAGAGATGAATGAAGAGATGGCTAAGGATTTGGTGGATGTGGGAAAGAAATCCAAAGTGTAAACCGCTCTCAAGAAAAGTCAAGGTTGGTAAAAAGATGTGACACGCATTCCAAAGGACTCACTTTGGGAGACAATCATCTATGGCTCATGTGTTTTGGGCGAAACAAGGTACATTCCGAAGCTTGACCCTCCACTGAAGTATACTCCAAGAATGCAAGCAAAAGCATGTATGTCTCATTACTCAATTGCACACTTATTCAAATTTATTTCTCGCTTAATGGTGCAGTACTAGACGCCCCAATGGGTAAAATGTGCATGCAATAAGAGAGTAAAACGCTCTCAAAGTATTTACATATGAGATTGCATATCCACCATTGTTATCAATGGTGCAATAGTAGTCCTCCGCCATGGAAATGTGTGCATGATAAGGTAGCATTTCAGACAAAGTCAAGTTTATCCCTTGCAATCATACGCCTATCAAATTTCAACCAAAGAAAAATACCAATCACACGAATCAATAAAAATATTCTCAACCAAGAGCTCTCCATCAAGTAAAATCAACACAAAGAATTCATTTTGGGTAAGAAAATGGGTCATATGAATAAGTGACGGTCATATAATTAAGTGACCCTCATGCTTAATTTTTCCCAACTTCTCTTTATTTAGCCACGCACCTATATATCCAAACATAACAATCCACAAAGACAAGCTCAAAGTAGAAAGTAGGGAGCTCATTTTTGAAATAAAAAGGGTAAATAAATGCAAGTAAAGCTTGGATTGCCTCCCAAAAAGCGCTTCTTTAACGCCATTAGCTTGACCATTTTTTAAAAAGAAACTCCTTTAAGTGCTTCTCAAGGAAAACACCCTTTGAGCGTTTGAAGTTGTGAGGAAGCACAAACAACTTCAAATTCTTACCTAGAAACACCCCCTTTTGCTTAGAAAGAGTGGTAGGTAAGGGGGTGGTGTTCGTGAGAGTAAAGGATGGATGAAAAGTTAAAGTATGAACCCTATCATGACCCATGGTGCAATGACGATGCATATTAATGAAAGTGTTGCTAGGCTTATGCAAATGAAAGAGAGAGTAGGAAAGTACAAACCGAAGGTTGGATCTAAAAGAACTCCGGCCTCCCCAAGGCTAATGATGACTCTACAAATAAGCCTCCCTTGATCTCCATGCATAGCTTAGGAGGAGCCATTTGAAATAGAAGCCCGGGCTCATTCCCTAAGTGGCTCCTCTATGCTCTCACTCAAGTTGGTTCTCTCCAACATCGGTTCAATGATGTTGTCACTCTCTTTGTTTCCCTCCAATTTAATGTTACTTCCCAACACCACAAACTCCTCACCTTTATCAATGATGATCTCCAAGTACTCCTCAACTGCCATATCCTCCTCTATTTGTCCCACCAACTCTCCACTTTTTTAAGGATTGAAAGTGAGTGTTTGGAGAGGGTAGTAAGGATCGAGGGTGGGTAATATGGGTTAGGAAATGGATAAGCTTGGGCCAGCCAACACATTGACCATTGAAGTAAGCAGAAGGATATGGTAAGGTTGGAGGATTTATGGGTAAAATAGGTTTAGAAGTTGGGTATGGATTAGGATTCGATATGGGTATTTAGTTTGACGAAGGGGAGCTTGAGAAGCTTTAGATATGGCCGGGTCGAGAGGTATGGACTCCAAGTCATCAAGTGAATACTCAAATCTTGGAATGGTTGGATCAAGGGCAAGACTTTGAGTGTAGAGCTCATGCTCTAGACAAAGATCATCAATGATAGAACTAAATGTCGTAGTCCTCCATGGTTGTACCACCTACGAAGTAAGAAGAACAAAAATAAATGTAAACAAAAATAAATCTCCACTAACAATCCGAAATTAATGTTAGTTAACACATTGTTAGTTGACACAAATCAAAACAAATCTCCACTAACAATCAAAACAAATCTCCTAGTTGACACAAATTTCCACTAACAAATATCCACTAATAATCAAAACAGATCTCCACTAACAAATCTCCTAGTTGACACAAATCAAAACAAATCTCCACAAATCAAAACAAATCTCCACTAACATTATTAGTTGACACATTGTTAGTTGACACAATAAACAAATCTCCACTAACAATCCCAAATCAATGTTAGTTGACACAAATCTCCACTAACAATCCCAAACAAAAAACAAATCTCCACTAACAATCCCAAATCTCTACTAACAATCCCAAAAAACAAATCTCCACTAACAAAAAACAAATCTCCACTAAACAAAAAACAAATCTCCACTAACAATCCCAAATCAATGTTATTTGACACAAAGCACTCAAAACCGTTGTTATCCCCGTTAACGAAGCCAATTTTGATGCGAAAAGTTTCTAGTGTGCTGTTATGCACCTAAAGTCTCGCTGAAAAAGATACAAGGTGAAATAGGATGAAATATGGTAAAAGTAAAGAGTGTAGTATTGTGAAAGTAAGGATTTCGTGTCCTCAAGGATCACGTAATTGGTTAGGAATTGAGCACAGAGTATAACTAAACACTACTATCAAATTTCAATATGTGAATCAAGGCCTAAAGGAAGAGAGAAGATGAATGATATGTAAGTGGAAATTAAACTAATGCAATGCACAACTAAAATGGAATGCAAGAAGTAAATGAATAATAAGCCTAGGTTAGAGATTTGATACTAACAATATGATTGCCAAGAGAATAGAGGAAAACGGGAAATCAATAAGGAAGCGAGCAAATCATCGAAAATGTTTAACTCTTTAGTTAATTAGATATTTTAATAGTTTAGCTAGATAGTTTAATTATTTTTATAACTTTTTATTGTTGAGTGGAATTATAACACTCCTTCGAGGGTTTCTTTTCGGTTCTTTACCTCGACGCTTTTATTGAACCGACAGGATTAGAATTCTATTATAATTAGGGTTTTATCATTATTAGGGTTAGTTAAATAATTTAGCTATAAATACCCATGTA